GATTTTCCATTTAACTTAAAGTGCCCCTGCAAACTCGGCATGAATATTCATTGGCACTGAATGACTGAACTGTTTGTACAAAACAAAGTAAGTGCAGTAGTCAGTAGCAGTCCTCTTATCAAATAAAAAAGTGAAATTACCTCCTGGTATATACTGTCACAGTCCCATGGCATTTTTGAAACATTTTTTAAATCGCAATACCGCAAAATTCCTAACATTGTGACATCCCTACTAAAACATCAAGATTTTGAGCTACATCAAATCAACAACACTACTGCTGAAAAAGTGGTTTTAGTGTAGTTACTTTTCTAATAATGAATTGTACATGCACACTACAGTTAGTCATGGAGTTCCACAGAACTCTGTGCTAGATCCAGTTCTCTTCACTTTAACTCACAGTGTCTGGTCATACTGCAAATCAAACCTGACTTACGATTCTTGAGGACATCAGGCTCACTGTAAGCACCCTGCACGGTGCTCTGGGTCATCCACACAGGCCTCTCCTTAGGTGCCTTGCTGTCATTGGGCTGTTTCTGCTGGTCATCCTGCTCATCCATGCTGATAACCACATTCTGGGTGTACATGTCAGCATAGGATGAAGTTTTGTTAGACCAGGCTTCACGGTACTGGCCACTTGCAGAATTTCCTGCGGCTGCTGCAGCACGTTCACGGCTGAAGGAAAGATTCAGGAAATAAAGATCCTCAACCGTTAAAATGTAAATGAAAAAAATGATGAGGGTGTAATATATTCAAGTTAACATTTATTAGTACTACTGTGTCTTAATAGAACAGAAATCCTGTCTACCACAAACTGCTATGAAAATGAGCAGCAGCAATTATTGTTAGCAGAAGTGAACTATCTGTTGTCAGAGAAACTGGATCAGGATGTGACTTGTGATGCTGACTGAAAGGAGTTAGTGGTGCATATCTATCAAACTTGTCAGAAAGTGACCTCTGTTTGAGAGCAGGGATCTCAGTAGGCTCAGGCTCCAGCAATTCACGGGACAAGTTGATATCTTCAGTCTCACGTAGCAGAGCGTAGATGGGTTCGATCTGCTCATTGAAGCGTGCCACCAGTGTCCTGGCATCAGGACAGACAGATTCATCTTCTTCTACCTCCGTCTGGCAGAAGGTGCAGTGAAATGTACCTGTGGGCAACACAAGAACTCCATTTAAAACAGCCGAGAAGGAACGTTCAGATCATTAGCCTGGTGTACCCAACAACACAGTCCTGCACCGGGCTGAGTACAAAAAAAACAAACGTGCAAAAATAAACTAAATGTGGCCAGGCAGTGGGTGAAATAATACTGATTTTTTATTTTTATTTTCAGACACATAAGTAAACAAGTGTTTAATTAGCCTACTGTATACGTCTACTGTGATTTAGTAACAAAGGAGAAATGCAGACACTGGGGCTAGATCAGCTGGGTAACAGTGCTCTAGGCACTGGTGTGTGAACAAGCACAGCAAGATGACATCCCAAAAGGTAACCAGAAATAAGAGTTTATGTCACTGTGATGAACTTCTTAAGAGGATAATTGTATAAACACTACATTATATTTGCAGGAGCTTTGAAACCTTGTGTGCACTGTGCACACAAGCCTTTCTTCCTACCAATAAGAGACGAGCGTGTTTAGCCATCTGCTTCTCTGGCTGATTTCCGTTTCAGTTTTGGGAGCTGTACTAACATTAGCACAGAGCCCATGTCTACCATTTGTGTACATGTGCAACATGGAGAAAAATAAATGTGTGTAAGGGGAAAAAGTGCATGAGAGAGACAGAAGGAGAAAGAACAAAAACAGCATCCATGGTGCCACAATACAGTCCTAGATAAAAGACAGACACAAAAAGGGAGATTTAAACACTCTACACCATAACCATCACATTTTCAGCATAAAAAAAAAAAACAAAAAACAAAAAACAAAAACAACTTATTGGAAACAAAATTAATTTTAAGATGTACAATTTAAATTTTGAGGCCAGACAAGTTGTTAATATTAAAAGCAAACAAGATTAGTAATACATCATTTTTACAGTGTTCTTTTTGTCAATAACACACACACACACAGCAAAGCCAACATTAGTGTATACTTTTGTGATTGCTGCTCTTCCCACAAAATTAATTTAAACACTTCATATATCAATTAGAGCATGGCAGTGGTCTCTTGTTTGGTAATGAGATAGGACCAATGTTCCCATTCGTGCTCTATATCGCAAAATGAAGTTGGGCTCCACATTAAACATGTTGATATTTGCATTCCCACAAGTCTGAAACAAAGTCAAGTTTAGACATCCCTCATCTAAAAAAAAAAAAAAAAAAAAAACTATTGTTTTTCATCCAAAAGCTGGGTGGACCTACGTCAGGTGGAATGAGTACAAAAAATGCAAGTCTTTCAACGCTCACACAGTACACTGAAAATTCAGAGCTGCAGGGTATTCAACTCTTCTTTCTGGGTCAGAATGAGCTGGAAGACCAATCATATCTTTTCCCATCCTGGTGAGGTCACAAAGAGTGTTGCTGGCCCGGCAGAAGCAACCAGTCCATCAGACTATCCCTCTGTGTAAAGTCCGGGTATTCTTTTTGTCAGCCTGTCTGGGTACAGGGTTACTGCCTTCACAGCAACATTCGATATCAGTTGGCACATGTAGAAACAAGAGACTGGCAAGATGATTAGAATGTTAGGGAGATGTTAACTGCTCTAGTGTGGAATTATTTTGCATTTTCTTTTCCTCAAGTAGATGTGTGTGTTCTTTTGGACAACCATTTTTATGACTAACCCCTGACAATGTAGATGCACCCACATTTGTGCATTTTTATTCTAAAATAAAGCCAGTAAAACCTAAGCATGTAGATGAAAGATCGGAGAAGCCCATTTTGCTCTTCTACTTTACAGTGTATAGGCACTGACTGTATACACACAAGTTAAAACTTGCTTCGGTTTTACTTTTATTTTTTCCTCTGTTACCGATATGACTTAAAGCCAGTGAGGCTGACAAAGGTCATTTCAATTCCAAATGAGGACTAACAATAAAATAAATAGTTAAAAAATATGTCAAGGCCAAAAGATGCCACATAAATAAATTCAATTCAATAACAGAAGTCACCATATTCATTAAGATGATAGCAAACCAAACCTAATTTTCAGATTCCCATCACATCAAATTAGCAACTTACTACTAAATTATTACACTATTTATTGTGTAGCACAATCTGTGTAGTCAATCGACACCAATGGTTGATCAGCAGTCAGCCTTTGAATTGGCAGACGGTTCAAGCCTGGTGTCTCACTCCGACAGAGTCAAGAATGAATGCAGTTTATAAATAAGCAGTTTTAGTAAAGGCTCTCCTCAAAGTATGAAAGATACACAAACATTACCACCAGCACAGTATTCTCCTGTAGCATTACCATTCCATTCAAGTGCATGTTTTCATGCACCTTTAGAAAAAAAAAAAAACATTCAGCAAATAAAAATTCTATTCCGACAACCAGCAAAAGTTTTTATCCATTTCAGTTTTCAGTGGGCCTACTATTCAGATGAGGAAGCACAAGCAACTCAGATGAGATGCTCATGGTTTTGCCAATTAACTACCAACCTCAACTAAAGTGCAAGTCTTCCTTTTAAATTTTGCATATCCACACCCACGCTCTGTCAGAGATGTTTACGACTTTCTGGCTCCTTCTCGTAATCACAAACACACACACCAACACACAATAATGAACAACTCTGACTGATAAGTGAGTGATGTGATGTGATGTGATGCCCATTTAGGAGCAAGGTTTTGGACAGCTGCCAGCCCATACTGAGACAGGGTGGGAATCACAGTGTGACAAGGACACAGAAAGAAAAAAAAAAAATCTGTAAATGCAGAGATTGGGAAGGTTTGAGAATCAAAGAGTGATTTCGTACTGCTGGTTAAGATGACAGAAAGCAGCAGATGAACAAATAAGGGCCTTATATTACTAAGCCCTCTTTTTAATCTAATAATAGAGCCAGCCAACCTGCCAACATCACTGCATGTTTCAAATGTCACACCAGTAAAAATCCTGCAGCCTGGTTAAAATATTTGAATGTGTGCTAATGATTCATCCTAATTTACCTACAACATGCCAAAGAGCTCAATCAGCATGTTTAAAGTGAACTCTGTACACTACTGATGCTAATTCAACTTTGACGTGGCAGAGCAGTAATGTGCAGAAAACACACAGTATGTCTGCAAGCTTACACATCATTAGCCCCAATAAGGGCTTCATTTTGCATCCACTTACTGCCAACAGCAAACATAGAGCTTTTCATCCTTTCTAGAAACAACATTCATAAAGCAGGGTTGCAAAAATAAATAAAAAATTCAAACTATAATTGCATCACTCTGGCTCTAGCACATATTTGTGCTAGCCATAGCACAAAGAGACATGAAGAGACAAAAACAAAACAATTCAGATGCTTATTAACAGCTTCTTATGTTTAAACTCTGAAGGTAAACTAAAAGAAAATTCAACTTTTTAGTTAGTCGCATTAAAATGGACTGGAGAACCCCCTTAGGGTGGGATGTCAACTTCACTCCAAAAAAGTATGTTGGTGGACTATTTCTGAAATGGTTAAATTTTCCATCAAGAGCCAGAGGCACAACTATCTTTTTAATAAGTGCTGTAATTTCTTTCTTATTAGGGACCTGATGTACTCAATTAACCTGTATTATTCATTTGAGTATAGATTCACTGAGGTTGAACTGAGTACTGACTGCCATCTAGAGGTCTGCTACCCTGTACAATAACATGAATGCAATATAATAATAAAAATACTAAAACTTTGTTACTGTAAAAAAAAATCTAAAGAAATAACATTGAATTTAATAACATTTCTGCTCTGGGAAATACCAGAGCCATACATTTACTGTACATCCACTGTTTAACTGCTCCACCTTACATAAATTATTCACAATAAACACTTTTTAATGATCTATTAATTATCTTGTGTTTATAAGAGGCAATAAGTTGCAATAACTTCCCTTACATACTTAATGACAATTTTCTGCCCAGGGCGTATGAACGCATGTGATTGTACCTAAGACAACACAAATCCTAAGAAATGCATATACACCCAAAATCAAATCAACAAAATGTTTTCCAAGTATTAATTCCCTCAGTTCAGTTTTGGTTCATTTGTCACACTAGCAAAGATATGGTCATGATTACTAGTTATTTTTTGATCTGGTGTCATTTGTAGACTGAATTTAATGTTTGTCCTAGTCTCTTTTTCCTTTTTTCACCAAAAATTAATGTTAGCAGAATAAACAGAACCTTCTTATTTAGACCATAATAGTATTTGATTCAAATTTAATGAGACTGCAGACAGTTTCCATGGAGGTGGGCTCTGACACTTGGTTTTATATTGGCTGGCTGCAAGAAGGCACTACCTAAACAGAGCTTCATCACAAAGAACATAAAAAGGTACTTTGGTCCTGATCACCATCTACTCTGATCTTTACAAAACTACTATACCTCATTTTAAGCAAATAATTGCCAGTAGTGTTGTAATACTTTACAGCTCTTGAGACCCATTTCAGTGGTCTTTGTCTCATCTCCAACTCAACAGCAATTACACTCAGAAGTTTACTTTCTACAGCAGACAACTGCACAACTGTATTGTGACCATATAGCCATCTTTCCTTTGTATGAGAGCTGTCTGTTCAAGGAGACCTTGTAAAGCAGCCCTGAAATCTACAATACATGTTGTTAAAAATGATCAAATTATCTTAAACATTCATAGTCAAGAGTGTTACAGATTTCAACATATTCAAGCATAATGGATATTAATACTAACACTAACAAGATACAGAACCATAGATTGCTTGTACTTTTCTTAATGTTTACCTGTCATAGGGTCAAACAACTGGTTGGCCTCTAGATCTGTGAAGGTGGAGGAGCAGCAGGGGCACCGGAAGGAGGCACGGTTGGTGGAATCTCGTTCATCTGTCTCAATGCGCCGCCGAATGTGATCCAATTTATACTTCACCACGTTGACGAGTACCCTAAAAATGAAATAGATAACGCGTTTTATAGTAAGCAGCATAATGACCTGAGAGGATAAATCATTTTTCAAAACAAAGAAAACTAAATTAAATAAGACTGTCTACTTTAGGTAAAAATGTAATTTCTTTCTGAATGAATCAACTCTCTCATATGTATGTGTGGCTTTTTAGTGTGTTACTGCTTGTTGCTAGTATACTTTATTGGCAGATGCACATACATTTTATTTATCAGACAGTTTTACAGACTTAGCTCATCTAAACAATGCTGATATGAGATACTGATAATGCTAATAGCTGGAGGGTGGGTACCTGGTGTCATGCATCTCCTATTCCTCCAACCTAGCAGCTACTGTATGAAAAACATCTACAGGTTAATAAGGTGCAGTTATTGTGTTAATGTGCCCAATCGTCTGTTATATGCAAATCAAAAAGAAGAAAAACCCCCCAAACCTGTAGTTGATAAAGTAGTAGTTGTGCCGTGTTGTCTTGCCATCAGGGGCAGTCTCCACTCTCATGCGGCACTTGACAAACTTGTCTGCTTTCAGGGTGTTGAGTACTGAGCGCAGCTGTTTGCGGTCAAACTTTAGCAGCTCTAGCATGTCTTCCTCACGTACACATGGATTACGGATCAGTACATCCAGGGCCAAGGCATGCTCCACTCCATAGAAACCCCTCACCACCTGCTTCGCTAGCCGCTTGAGTGCAGCAGGGACCTCTGTCAGTAGCTCTGGTTCTATCATCTTATGCTGTGGAAAGAGGCAAGACCTTTGAACAGGCTGAAATGCAGTTCTTGGTTTAAGGAACTTTAGAGAAACCAGAGAGGGGAGGGGTGCCAGGGGATGATTTTTGTAAGATAAATCAGTAGGTAGGCAGGCAAAAGCAAGAAATATTGAGCAATATTGAATTAAGCACAATAGCCGTCCCTGGAAGACTAGTGGTTCGCTGCGGCCTGGGTTCGAATCAGGGTTGTGTCAGGAAGGGCATCCGGCGTAAAACACGTGCCAAATGTCAACATGCGAGTCGTCAGTGTGACGATTCGCTGTGGCGACCCCTAAACGGGAAAAGCCGAAAGTGACTTTCTTTCTTTCTATTGAATTAAGCACAATGAGGAAAATCTGATGGGAGGGAATATCACCTTTCAAACACAGTTCCTTGACATTTACTGGATTCTTTGCCTTAAGAAGGCTTGTTTCAGCGAAATACTTCTACTAAGTTGGTGGACAACTTTTAAATTAAGACATCCAACTGCTTTGTGCCAGTATATATGAAAAGGTGGCTAATACTGACAGACCTCACTACACTGCTAGCTAAACTGCCTGCTAAAAAATTTCCCCACTGTGAGATCAATAAAGTACCTACTCTAAACAGTAACTTAGCAACTTGACTTCGCTTTAAGTTAGCTAACTCGAACAACAATACAGCAAATTGATAAGGATACGAGCTATAGCCATTATCTTGCGTTATCTTTACTTTAAGCTTTTCGATGTTAACATTACCTCGCGTTAGCCAAACTTGCAGCCAGCATTTAGTTAGTTTACAGACACCGTTAAGTTAGTCAGCTAACCCAACACGAATCTTACCTGATAGTGTTTATATTTCACTAATAACTTAAAGCCACCGCTTTTACGTCATTTCAGACTGTATGCCAACTCTGTCTCAAATACACTCAAACAAAAATTCACACATTTGCACATCGGAATCCTTCAGCTAGGCTAGCTTGCATGCTTCCTTACTTATTTTGAGAAGACAACCCGGAAAGAAAACCATACCCACAACGGAAGACTTCCTTAAATCTAATTGGCTGAGGTGTAAATTTGTCACTCGAATAGAAACCAGGTTATTTTGATTGACATACACAGTAACCAATAACTCTGCTGTTGGTCATACGAGCAATTTGTTAAAGACCAATCAGGCTATACAAATAAGATTCGCAGGCGGGGTTTTATATCGTTTTTCCGGGACGCTTCTGTCACCAAAAATGGCTTCTCTTGACAGGGTAAAAGTATTAGTTTTAGGAGATTCTGGTAAGTGAAGTACTATGCTCATAATTCAGATCTTTTTCTATAACGGCGTTTGCGTGTAAAAAAAAAAACTAAATATGTTTGTTTTAGATGAAGCTCTCCCTGTTTACAATCCATACCATTTTTAATTAAAGGACCGATGTCTTGTCAAAATTCTGTTGCAGAAGCCCTGTCTGGCGCAACATAAATGTCTTGTTTACTGATAAATTCAGGGTAAAGGTGCACTGACAAGTGATGCTTAGCTAATTTAACTGTTATAATTGTACACGGTTCACTTGCGACCAAAGCTAGAACGCTAAAAGCTGAATTTTTTTACTTATGCCGAGCTTAAGAGTGACTCTTGGCAGCTTATGAAATCTATTTACCTATGTACTTCAATGTATACGTTTTGAGGGAAATGGACACGGTTGAATGCCTTCTCCAGAT